AAAAGTAGAAGTAAATATATTGATAATTTTCTGGCATGGGTATTTTCAAAGATATATTGGCGCATTTCCCTCGTGGCGGTCTTTCCTATGTATTTGCCTATGGTAGTGGTGTGAAAAAGCAAATTGGTTATGAAGAAGTTGCTCAACAGAAGAACAATGTCATTGACCTAATATTCTGTGTGCGTGATCCCCTTGGTTGGCATGCTGAGAATATCGATCGTCAGGAAAGCCACTATTCTTTGCTCCGCCTAATGGGTCCCCGTTTCATTATGAAATACCAAGAGCATCTGGGCGCCCGTGTATACTTCAATACATTGGTACCCTTGGACGATATTCAAGTAACCATAAAATACGGGGTCGTTTCACGTGAACACTTGCTGGACGACTTGTTGAATTGGCGGTATTTGTATCTTGCTGGCCGGCTCCAAAAACCCATCTGCGAGTTGGTACCCACGAATGGCGACGACCAATTAAAAGAGGCTTTAATGATGAATTTATACAGCGCATTTCAAGTAGCACTGCTACTGCTACCAGAGCGTTTCACATCTTACCAACTCTTTCATACAATTTCCAGTCTAAGTTACAAGGGTGATTTTCGAATGATATTTGGCGAGAATAAGCAAAAGGTTCGGAATATAGTATTGGCACAGGAGAAAGATTTCTTAGAACTCTACTCTCCCGCATTGCAAAAATTTACCAATTACGTTGCAGCAGATTTCAATGCCTCAGAAATCGGGACCGGCAAAAAAATTATACAGTTTGAACAGGACAAGTCGTCGCTGGCTAAAATGTATCACCTACGCAACGCACCCAATGAACTACAAAAGCGTCTTGTGCAAAATTCCGCCTTTAGGGGTGATTACATGAAAATTGTTCCACACTTAGCAGATGCTCACAATCTTCTCGAACTTGTGCAAACTTCAGTGAATGATATAGTATGGCGCAGCAGCATAACGCAGTCGATAAAAAATATAGCCAGCGCAGGATTGTTCAAATCATTAGTTTATAGCTATAAAAAGGCGCTTAAAACCTTTTCATAATTGTGGAAGAATGATTCAGTGAATCATTATGGCTTAGCTACTGAAAAAATACGGATTTTGATGGCATTTGTTGGTATATTTTACTTTTGTTGCTCATTTGATTTATACACAAATTAATTTCGCTGAAGATTATATACTTACTTCACAAAAGGGAGTTACACTGCAGTTTAAATGTATTTAATGCCAAAATTGCTTATAGAGTTTTACTATGCTGTTGGAAAAATTGTGGGCTATGTAATATTGTAAATAATAGTTTTATTATCTATTTTTAACATTCGTAAGTATTTAGTGCAATAAAGTGAACAGAATGTGAATCCTACCACACCGATGCAGTTTTACTGATACTTTTTTTTTGTTCTTCAGCCTACCAAATACTTCAATTAAACAGATTGCACAAAATGAGCAGTGACACAGACACATCCGCTTCCACATCACCACAGAAATATAAAAAGCATAAGAAAAGCAAGAAGCTAAAACGCAAAACTGACAAAAAGAAGCATAAAAATAAGGAAAAGAAACGCCACAGGGACAAGAAGCGGGACAGCCAAAAGAAACACCATGTGGAGGCCGAAGCCATTTTGGCAAAGCATGGCAACGAAAGTACGGAAGTTGCACAAATTAATGACGCATTCGGCCCAGCGCTCCCACCACATTTGCTCAAGGATGCTCTTAACATCAACAAAACTTTAATAGGCCCTGAGTTGCCTCGTGAACTTTTGCACACAACAGAGGGTAGTATGAAGTCAACTGAACCTTGTGAACCCAATGACAAAGATAATGACAGAGAAGTTGACGCCACGGATTTTTGCTATGGTCCCATGCCAGTTTCCGTTGATGCCGAAGGAATGGTAAAAATGAGCGCAACACAAATCGAGTTAGAACAGCGTGCGTTAGAATTAAAATTGGCTGCTATTGAAGGTACAGGACAAACGACGGACGCAAAAGTACGTGAAGAATGGATGCTTGAACTGCCTGCTGTAGGATTAAAAGGAGGACTTGCAGCGCTTTCGAACATGAAGCGAACATTTCATCAGGGCAAAGAAAGGCCGGACTTTAGTGACCGGTATGCGAATTTTAATTTTTTTTTCTAATTTATTTACAATAAATTTAACACAATATAGCTCATCTTGGACAAAAACACCTCAGGATGCAGAGAATCCAACTCCTTGCACATCTAAAGGTACCACATCGGCTGAGGCATTAAAGCGAAGTGCTGAGGCTGCTTATGAACGGCAACGCGACGAGGAACAAGAACAACTTGCTAAGAAGCACAAAAAGAAACACAAACGAGATGAATCTTTAGTAGATATTCATCAGAGGAAGTTGAGAAAGGAACAAAAAAAAAGAGTAAGTTTAGAATTGCAATTAGAATATTTTGAAAACATATTCTCATTGTTTACAGGAAAAGGAATTAGCTGCAGCTGGCGCTAAACCCGAACGTCGCCCGTTCAGCCGTGACGTGGATTTAAAATTAAACAAAATCGATAGTAATCAAACCAAACAAATAGTTGATAAAGCAAAAATACTAAATACTAAGTTTTCGAGTGGCAAAACTAAATATCTTTAGTTCATTAAAGTTTGGTTGCCATGTAAAAATATTTTTTAGAATAAATTAATTTAAAAGACCTCCATTTGTAACTTACAATAGTACAAATACTTTTATGTATATTTTTTAGAGCAGCTCAAGTCCTATATTGTCACATTATAATTATCGCTGAGGCGCTGGTTTCGGCTTTGGTATTTTACTCAAAAGCATTTGAATTTCATCTTTTTCTTTCCAATCTTTCCAGAGCTCATAAAGATTTACAATTGCACGCACAATTTCTTGCACTTTGTCGAGGTCTACATTCAATTCGGCGAACCAGGTTTTCATGGAATCTTTCTGCAGAATTACACAAGCGATTTGTAGGCAAGCAATTGCAATCTGAAATGCATCCAATTGATTTGTGTTACATTTTTGCAATTTGTATAAAAACTTACTTGATAAGGTGGATACAACAAACATACATCGGTGCGCAGTGAATCGTTAACTATGCGCCAGCTCAACGTTAACAATTGCTCCTCTTGCCCCATGTCCTGCACAAGCTGCAATAGTGGTCGATATGGCTGATAAACGATTAAACAGCAATCTAAATTTTCAAGTAAATAGAATTCACATTCCAAAACATGATTGGTGCGATAAGGAAATTCCTGTGTGTAGGCATAGCTGAATTTGGATTTAATCACCGATTGGCAGATAGTGATTAGACGCGAATTAGAAATCACACCGAACTCCTCCACTTTAGACGCTAGCAATATGCAGGTGGGTGCCAAAAGTAGTGGATCGATGTTCTTGAGCGAATTCCGTGCATAGAAACGTTTAAAGTAGACAGTAGCAGTAGCGATGACCTGCTGACGAAGTTTCAATTGCTCGCCAAGCACTTGAATAACGTTGGCAAAGAAAATAAAAATCTTCTGATACTCATCTTCGCTTAGTACTTGTAGATCATATTGTCTTTCGCGTATGAGGTCTTGGCGATCCAGGATCCATTGTTGGGAGTGGGAACTTTGCCAAAAGTTTCCGGCCATTTTAGGAAAATGCAAACACTCCCAACCAGAGCAATATTACAAAAGTTTATATGATAAATTAAGCCAGCCGTTCCCGATATTCTAAATGACAATTTACTAGTTGCTTTCCTAAATACGAGAATACAAATAAGTATTTACCTCAAACTTACAGACAACCTCGAAAATTTAATCTTTGCGAATCCTTGTCTCAAAACGTCAATTTTGTTTTGTTGTCAGCTGTCATCTAGAAACTGACGGCCGTGTTGCCGTCATGAACCAAAAATACAAGATCACGTAAGAACGCGACGTTGTATTTGTAACTGGTTTTGAGAAAAAAGTTTGCGAAAGCGGGTTCGTCAGCTGAGCGTTTGTTTACATCACAAGCACCTTTATTTTACACTTTTATTCAAGTAAAGAAGAGTTAATTCAACATGACAACACATTTTAAAGCATTTTGTTGCATCATTTTACCTAAATTGTGCGTTTAAAGTGACTGACAATAATTTTGGCTAATTTTGGTTTTCGTTGTTTTCTTTGCTTTGTTTACTTTGTTTACTTTTCGCTCGTTTTCCAGTGAAACAAGAGGAGCGTTCCTTATCTCCCAGAAATAGTCAGAAAAAGTCCGAAGTAGTCAGATTTAGTCCAAAAAGCGTTCCTTAACTCGGAAATGACAGCAAAAATGAGAGAGCAACACACAGTAAGAGTGACTCTCATTAGTCCGAAGTAGTCAAAATCCTGAAAAGTGTCAAACTCAACTGAATTTAAATTAACGGAAATTAAAGAATACGCAAAAAGTGAGAATAATCTAAAAAGTAAAAAAAGTGAATTCAAATTGGAATGAGGCAAAAAATAATTGATATAGTAAGTGTTTATTGTGCTTGTGCTTGTGTGAATGTGTTTTGTACATACATTCCCATTCTTATTTGACGTTAGCTTTGTTGTTGCCATTCTTTGGACTAAAAATTGGGTTTTTTGCGTTCCTTTACTTTTCCTGTTATTCTCTTTTAGTTAGCGCATTTTGCTTACGCTCTGGCATTTTGACACTTTTCAGATTTTAGTCCAAAAAGATAAGGAATGAACCTAATATGGCGTAGAACCCGTTAAAAAAATCGACTTTTTTCACTTTCTTGTTCTTACGTGATCTTGTGTCTTTCGTTCATGAAAAGAACCGTAGAGAAAAAAAGGAAAGGAAACGAAAGGTTAGTGTCACTGAACGTACCAGTTTTTGACATTCAATGACATCTTCAAAAGTTGCAAACCGCAGCCAACTTAAACTCCCGATTACCTGTCTGGTTCGTGAAAGATCGTTGAGGGCGAATTGTTTAATTTATTTTAAGCAAATTCTTTAAGAAACAAATTGAAACGATGGCGTTACGAGTGCTCTCTGTTTCCCAAAATTTACGCCAGCTTACCAAAGGAGCTGAGATTTTAAAAGTAAGTTACAATTGGTAAAAATTGGGTCTTCCGAAGAAGGGGGTTGGTAATTACAACACACCGAATCATTTTACGTTACGTAATGTGAAAAACTGGAGTACGGCACAATTGCTATTACTAAACTCATTTATCTTCCATAAATTAAATTAAAAATATCCACGATTCTAATTTTATGCCAATATTTAAACTGATATATCTTAATAAATTTCGTACTCCATTGAGTTAGAGGTTATGAGCACAAGGTATTTGTTCCAGTTGTTTGTAAATCCGTTTTTTTTTTTGATAGCGCTATAAGGCAACTGCCAGTCTTAAGAAGACCCTCGTAAATATTCCAGCCACTCAGGTAACTCGATTGGATAATGGCCTGCGAGTGGCAAGCGAAGATTCCGGTGCAGCAACTGCTACCGTGGGCCTTTGGATCGATGCTGGTTCCCGCTCGGAAACCGAAAAGAACAATGGTGTTGCACACTTTTTAGAACATATGGCTTTCAAGGTTAGATTCATATATAACAAACTATGCAAATTAATATAAATATTGGTTCTATACAGGGTACCGCAAAGCGCTCTCAGACCGATTTGGAATTGGAGGTTGAGAATTTGGGCGCACACTTGAATGCTTACACCTCTCGGGAGCAGACCGTCTTCTATGCTAAATGTCTATCGAAAGATGTACCAAAAGCTGTTGAGATTTTGGCTGATATTATTCAAAATTCCAAGTTGGGCGAGGCCGAAATCGAACGGGAACGGTCAGTAATTTTGCGTGAGATGCAAGAAGTGGAGAGCAATTTGCAAGAAGTTGTGTTCGACCACTTGCACGCCACCGCCTACCAAGGCACCCCTTTGGGACAAACTATTCTGGGACCCACAAAAAACATAAAGTAAGAAAATTTACAAGTATACATACATATATATATACATAAAACTTTTTGTAAATTAAAAAAATATATAATTTTTTTTTTTGTTAAGGTGCATTGGTAAACAAGATCTCACCGATTATATCTCGACTCATTACAAGGCCTCGCGTATTGTGCTTGCTGGTGCTGGTGGTGTTAAACATGATGAGCTAGTGAAGTTGGCCGAAGGAAACCTTAAAGGCTTGGAAAACACTTATGATGGTAAACCACCTGTAGTCACACCATGTCGCTTTACCGGTTCAGAAGTACGCGTACGTGACGATTCTTTGCCACTTGCACATGTTGCCATTGCTGTAGAAGGTTGCGGCTGGACTGATCAGGACAACATCCCCTTGATGGTAGCAAATACCCTCATTGGCGCCTGGGATCGCTCTCAAGGTGGCGGCGTAAACAACGCTTCCAACTTGGCACGTGCCAGTGCTGAGGATAGTACGTTGCCCGAATGTCTATTATTTTTCAACAATTAATTCTGAAATAATTTTTAGACTTGTGCCACAGCTTCCAGTCATTCAACACATGCTACAAGGATACCGGTTTGTGGGGCATCTATTTTGTTTGTGATCCTCTGCAGTGCGAGGTATTTTAGTTTTAAATTGAACAGATTTTGTATTAATCAAATTTTTATGGGCAGGACATGCTATTCAATGTACAAACCGAATGGATGCGTCTATGCACAATGGTGACCGAGGCTGAAGTCGAGCGAGCCAAGAACTTGTTGAAGACCAACATGTTGCTACAGCTTGATGGAACCACTCCCATTTGCGAGGACATTGGTCGTCAAATTCTCTGCTACAATCGCCGTATTCCACTGCACGAATTAGAGCAACGCATTGACGCTGTATCTGTCAGCAATGTACGCGATGTGGGCATGAAATATATTTATGACAGATGCCCGGCTGTAGCTGCTGTTGGACCAGTCGAAAACCTGCCAGAATATAACAGGATTCGCTCATCGATGTACTGGTTGAGAGTCTAATTTTGTTGTGAAGACGATAAATTACTTCCGAGTAATATAGTGTAAATGGAGAGAAACTAAAATAAAATTAAATGATGATAATAACCAAAGCTTAACGGCCGTTTAAAGCCTGGTGTTTATAACATTTTTTGAAATGTACATTTATCAAGATTGGAAAATGTATTATCGTTGCATAATCAAGTTTCGACCATTAAATATAATTAATTTAATAATATAATTTATTGATACCCGTTATTTTAACTTAAAGACCATTAAGAACAAGCACATGAACACTAAATATTATCTTGAATGTAATCTTCGTTGTATAATTAAACTATTCATGCCTATAATTAGTGGGTATGCCGCTGAGGCCCTTTTCCAATTTAGCTGGCTCTGCACAGCCCAGTGCTGGATCCAACCCTTTCCAAGTTCGATCCTCAAATGTGAGGCCAGTGTTGTTGGTCATCACTTCCATTTTACCTCTCCCAGCAACAGCCTGTTGTTGTTCACTCAATGCAGCAGCTCCCTCTTCTGCAAGATCATCTTCCACATTGCGGCCACGAACTCGTCCACTTACTAAACTAATATCTTGCTCCTGCACGTCTGAAGAATTAAAAGCCAAAAATTTTTCTCCTTCTGGAAGTAACTTTTTGAAATCAGTAACATATGCTTCCGGATATTTCATATGCCAAGCTGGATTAAGTGCCATTTCAGCTTCGAATACCGAAACAATAGGTTTATAATATTCTTTTGAGTTGTAAAGGTTATTGAAAGGGCACCCTATAAGCACAAAGCAGTCAATCTCCAAAAAGTTTGCCAATTTGGCGGGGTTTATACGACCCACGGATATAATTTGAGTCTTTTTGCCTCTAGCTTTTGCCATTTCTTGCAAACGTGAAACAATTTTTAAATAACCTTCGGCTGTAAGAGTTGCGACAATTAGGCCTAATGTTTGAGCATCTTTACATTTTTCAATATAATAATATCGGCGCCGAATGTATTGAGCGGTTAGTGGATTCTTTTCGAACAAATTATTACTTGTTGGTTCGTAGATAAACCATTGGGAAGCTATGACAAAGAAAATCCGTAATTATTTGTAAGTATTTTTTCTAAACTATAATAAGTACCCTGTGTTGTGATAGATAAATTGGAGAATCTAGAGTTTTCTGCTCCAATGAAAATGCAGATTGGCTCACTAGGTTCTTTTTCGTCAACCACAGCATCCTCTGCGGGCGGATAGGCTTCGACAAATAAGTCTTTACAAGGTAGTATCTCCTTTAATTTGTCTGTGTATATAAACGATCACAATTTTTCAATACTTGCGAAATTACCAAACAAGAATATATTATGCTTACAGCCCAATGAATCTTCTTCAGCTTCGTCTACGCGTTTATCCAACAAATGATGATAGCCTATATCAAGGTATGTGAATACAATTTTACCTCTGACGGTATCTGCTATTACTGACAATTTATCCATAAATGTTTTCAAGTTAAACGGATACTGTGGATACATGTACAGCACGGGCAGACCAGAAACTCTGCTACGGCAAGCGCTGCCGAAATGTATTAAGCTGTCTGCTTCAACATGTCCGGCGGCGATCTAAATTTGACCAGCTTTGATTTAAATCTTGTCATCTTACGCAAAATTTACCTCATCTACACAACAGCTTCCATAGGAAGTGTCGGCAAGTACAAAGAATTTAATGTCTGTTGACCCTCCCTCCGGAATGAACAGTGACTTGAGCGTGTCACTAATTTCATTGCTGTGCGGCAAATAATGATCGGGAAATTGAAGGCAAACCTAATGATTAGCTTACAATTATTTCCTTTTTATTAGTCATCCAAAAATTGAGAAACATTACCCGTTTATAACCATTTTGTCGTACCCATCCCCAACAAATTTTTAATAGAGTACCATTCCAAACCTGATCCAGGGGAGGGGTAACTTCGACCTGATCTAATTCCGCTTGCCGCTCTATTACCTCCTCCGGTGGAGTAAAAAATGCTGAGGTGCTCATTAATTACAATTAATTTAATTTTATCTGATTTAAATATGTTATTCTACTAAATTTCGGAATGTAACACTGCTTTTGCACCGTACCGTACGTTTCCTGGTTTGCTTAGGTCGTGTACAGTACGAAGCAGATAAAAATAAAAGCTTTGTTTCTCAACAGATAATTACCACAAATTATCACTAATTTCTGCTCGAAAGCGGTTTTTACCCCAAAAAACTAGCAGAAACTAGCAGCTCTCTCTCGTTCTTATGCTCTAATTTTTTTGGCTCTCCCGCTAATTTCTGCTAGTAAAAATCTTAGTTGCGTTCCCTAACTCGCATGAAGTTGCAAGAATTTACAGGAATTTTCCAGAAAGCGTTCCCGAACTCGGTTTTCTGGTAAAGTAGGGGAAAAATGGGAGAGTAAAATCGATCCTCTCTTTGTCAGAAGTTGCAAGATTTTACCCGAAGAATTTTTGGTGGTAAAATCTGGTGAAGTGTCAAACCATCAGCTGTCCAAATGATTTGAAAGTTGAATAAGCAAAAAACAAAATACATCTGCATTTTCACCTTCTTAAATAAATCGCAGCGAAGAAATATCAAGTTTTGTAAGTATTTTTGTTAATTTGCTTGTGTATTTGCATATAATTTAGCAGATCG